TGTAATAAGGTATTTAATGATGCGCTAAAGCTCAATCATATTACTAAAGGTTTAGAGGGATCTATGCAAGTTGAATAGTGCCCAGAACGCCCTTTGTAAGTGAAAAGCGAGAATTCAATTCAAATATTGTGTTCCGATGGAGGAGGGGAGGGGGTGACGGAACGAAGCGGGGAAGGGAGCGTGTGGACAACCCTCTGTGACCGAAGTAAACGTTACCCTACTCATATCCTCTCTCCCGGCTTAGCCTGTAATCCTTTTGCATGACTAATAACACCTCACGGAGCAAGTTGTAAATTGGGTAACCTGAACGGAAGGGCCTAGAGAACAGAGAAAGGAAATAACAATGGTATGAGGCAAGAAGTTGTAGACATTGCAATAAAACAGAACATGTATCACTACAAAATAGCAACAAATTAAACCCGTTCTTTAGCAGGGCACCAAGAGCCATCCACTATAAAGGTGGGAAACATGTGGAGAATTCCTAGCAAAAGAATTGAGTAATGTGTCCGTCTTTGTCAGCTAAACCATTTCCGTTTTGCTACAATGCTGTTACCGACTGAGATGACACTGTGGTCCTCCGAGACTTGCACTTCCATAGTAGAAGGCATCGCGTATAGTTGAATGCGCATATTCGGATGGGGAAGAGAGGAGAGAGACTACGATCTGACCCGAAGGTCAGCAAGAGCGAGCTGGCTACCAAAATGACCGCTAGTCATACAGAGAGTCACATAAACAAGGAATTACATTGCCCCCCTCTTTTCAGAGCGACTTCATCGACTCTGCCCCGCTATACTTCTCCCACCAGCCATCACGGCGTTTTCGGTGCCGTAAGAAAACGCCCACTCCCATAACGGTCAAATGAATTCAAGGCTACAATTGACCTGAACACAGAAAATCAGGGGTGAGAACTTCTGTTTGGGGCCAAACAAGAGGGAGAACGGGATTAAACGCAGTCCTGCTTAGACGTGTGTTCAGCTTAATGCCATCTCCGACATTGTCGGTTCAGTTGCTAACGGCTTTCCAGAGGAAAACGAGGATGGAGCGGATATCTGCTTCAAACATTGTCTACAGCCCCTTTATTGTGAGAAACTAAGAGATACCTTCGTCCAAAGTGTATGCTCTTCATTTACATAGCAGAAGTTTGACATAAACGGTGGACACGAGGATCGAAGTAGTAACAAAATCGAATTCGCTTTTTGCCTCAGCGTAACGTCCGGAGACTCCTCGTTCGGTAGAAAAAGGCATTGAGAATGGATGAAAGCATATATTAAAATAGAAAGGATAGAAGTTAGAGTATGGCCTAACCCGGGGACCAACTCACGCGGCAAGACCAAGATGGCACCTACAGTTGCTTTGGTATTCGTCAAGTTCCTATTCCTTTTTCTCCTTATAGAATGTATGCACTGTTTGACGTTATGCTTGCTTCTACCTGGCTCCAAGTCTCGGGACGCTGCACTGGTGGCAGCGGAAAGCGCATCTGACGTTTTGACGACTTTCATCCCTATATCTTCTGTTTGTAATAGATCAACAGTGAGGATGAAGCGCGTTTACACGGATTAGTAGATTCAAAAACATTTTTCGCAACAAAATGATTGACAATGATGTCTGCCTTTGATTTTTTCCTTACTCCCGTGTCCCGTAGACAGGCTAATGGCAACTAAAGTGACGCCGCTGTCAACCTTCCGAAAAATCTTCGTATTGGAATTATCCTTACTGTCCTAGTATAGATGTCAGAGCTGATATTGCAACGATCTTTCGCCAAACGGGATTATATTTGATCCCGTCCTCCCTGTTCAACGTCCGTTTTAGACCAATTTTCCAGATGCTAGTCGTAGACACCATTGATGGACAACAGATACGTGCAGCCCTGATTCCTGCTGTTAAGCCATACGCAAGTTTAAACACATATGAAGCTGCTGAGAACACCAAGTGCAAACCTTCAATCTCATGGCAGCTGATGACTGGCACAGCTGGCTCATGGGTGTTTTCATGTGACACGGGATATGTTGTGATGGTTGGCGAGGAAGGTGCATCAAGGGGAGCGTTGAGGACGTAGCTTAGAAGAAAATAGAGGCAGTGTAATACGTTATGTGATCACCTATTGCCTAGCGGTTGTCTTGATATTTGTCTGAACCTTGTACACGTGGGTTGGCCCTTGGGACAAGTCAAGACTCTATTCATTCTTCGTCTTTTAGAAAATGTGGATTTATGCCTTCTACCTGATAGGAAGCCTCGGGACACTAACTAGTAACCGCCATTCATGCAGAGAATCATATAAACAAAGTATTAATAAAATATGGTGTCTCGAGACTTGCCACCACACATCAGGTAGTCCATAACCAAGGTATTGCAAACACCACTAAAGAATTATCTATGCATGTCTCAACACGCAAGTGCAAGCAAGCAACTATGGAAACAAATCACATTCCCAACACATTATGGTGAGATTCCTATTATCGAAATTTTAGCGGCCCGAGACTTCCCACAGGGTGAAAGAAGATAGTGAGTAAGGCTGGTTACATGTATTCCGAAAAGAAGAGGGCAAATGGACCTGAGCATGGCCCGAAGGCCAGCCCACATGTACAAGGGTCAGGCAAATCCTAAAGTGACCACCAAACGTAAGATAGTCCCATAAACACAGAATTACATTAGCCATCTAATTTCTATTCGAATGTTCATGGGTCTGGCAACAGAGTTATGAGATAGCCAACGTCGAGTCCTCAGGGGCCTGAGGAGGGTGCATTCGTGAATTCAAAAGTGGGAATAAATTCTAAAATTAATGGCATTGAAGGATGGATCCCCAACGACCGTTTGTTGCGAATATTCTTTCAGATTCGCTTACTAATAAGGGACACTTTCAATCCCATTGATAAAATCCCAAAACATCGATTAGCAGCTTGCCACAACTCACACTTTATTTAAGATTAAGCTCGTGTTATTAATTCTGCCTCATTAGTAAGATGTCATCCTTCTGCAAAATTAAGGTTGGGCTTCTTTAAAAATACAATGTTTGTTATTCTTAATCAATAATAATTCAAATCCTACCTTTAGTCCGCCGTATAAAAGCCTTTCGCGTTTTGAGCTGGTGTGCATATTCTCTGGGTTTTGCGGTTTTCCTGTTGGGCGGAGTGCTGTGGTTTCCGTCGCGCTTGGTACGCTAAATTGCTAATTTGGAACACAATTAACAATTGGATTGTTTCACTATGTTTCTCATTTATGGCAGCATTTTGGCAGCTTTTCATTTCGTTAGTTGTAATTGTTGACACCATTGTAAGTATGCACGTCGATTAATGTGATGCCATTTGCATATGACTTCACATCTGTTCTTTACACCCTTTGCTGCCATTATAATGACACTGTCTGAACTTTCAACTTTATTTTTACCGTCTATATCAATATCTTCAGATATAAATGGACTCTGGTGATACTGACGACGTAAATTATTGGCGTGAAAAAGCAGAAGAATATAAGAGATTGTTGGTTCTCGCATTCATAATTTACCGTTAATTAGATGGGAAGAAGAAAAGGAGGAATTTAGAGAATTTCAGTGCAATTCAAAGGAACTTGAGACTGAACTTGAAACGCAGTTGGAAATGCTGGAAAAGAACAATGCCGAATTACAGGCCAAGGTTGAACGTCTTTCTCTTGAAGTTGATACCGACAAGGTAGGTGGATATTTCACCGTCTTGGCTACTTCTGCCCATAAAAGTGTCATTTCAATTTATAATCGAACTACGCAGATTTTGCTATCTTTTTGATTCATGTTTGTTCGCTTCATTTATACAGGAGAAGCACGATGTTTTCGTTAGCAAATTGAATAGGCAGGTTACGAACCTCCAGGACGAAGTTAACACCCTTAAATCCGAGGTGCTTCAGCAAAAGCAATACATTCGCCAATTGGAACAGGTTAACGACGATCTTGAACGGTCAAATCGCAATGCTTTGGCGTCTGTGGAGGACATCGAGGATCGTCTCAATCAAGTCCTTGAGAAGAATGCTCTTCTTGAGGTGGAACTTTACGAGAAGGAGGAACTCGATGTTCGTGTACAGAGATTAAAAGATGAAGTTAGGGGTGAGGTGATCATATTTCCTATCAGCCCTTTGTTTATCTTGATTTTTCTCGTGAAATTGCCGAAGTTTTGGTGGAAATTCTTTTAATATGTCCCATTCGCTTACCATTTTCTGCTTTTTTGGTTTTTTGTTTGACGATTTATCCATTTTATCCATTTTTATCATATTTTTTTATGATTATTGCCTAAAATTTTTCGTAGACTTGAAT